GCTTACATTTACTTTTTCTAGTGGTACCAGGAAGTTTTAAATTACATTTATGGCTTCCATGATCTTTCTACCAGTCAGTGCGAGGCTGACTTGATGACATTTGCATTCATGCCACCTTTGCACTGCCCACCAGAGGGCACTGTACCCTCGCAGTGGGGTCAGGCAATCTGAAATTTGAGGGAAAGGGAAGTAGTTCAGACAAACTGTTGGTCCTTTGTGGTTGTTGTCTTAGATCAATTCTTACAAACAGACCCGTGTTTGCCCTGTGCTATCTCTCGCCATGTGAGGGGAACAGATCTACCTCTGGGTAAGGATGCTGCCCCTAATCCTCACTTCATTCTGCTGGTGGTGGTTGGAGAGGAAGAATTAAGCCTGCAAAGACAACTTGCCATTTCTGCAGCATTCATTGGATAGCTACTGTATGCCACACTCTCCTAGCTCGAGGTGATTCTCCCAAGAAATTCATCCCAACAGACAAGGATGTTTCCTCTTTCCTTTTTCCAAGTGAGAAAACTGAGGCTCAGAAAGGGAAAGTGAATTGCCCGAGTGGCCCAGCAGAGCTAGGCTTTGCACCCAGCTCCATCCGGCAGCAGTGCCTTCTGGGACCTTCCCCTGAGCCGGCCACTTCCCAAGCTCTAATTAACTCCTGAGAGGTGGTGGGCAGACGCAGCAGCAAGGACACTCTTTATCTGTCCGCATCAGGCCAGAGGAGCAGCCAATAATTCATTCTGAATTTTTCCCATTTATCACAGTGGCAGGAGCCAGAATGCCTGGAATCCCAATCCCGAGGCCCTGTGCCCCTTGGCCACCTGGCGCTGGGCACGATGGTGACAGGAGCTGGGGCAGGGGGCCTTCATTGAGCCTGAGAAGGGGGGATGTCCCTGGTACCCCAGTCCCGTACACTGGCTTATTTTTTATATGTATATGTTATTGTTGATAGCACACACTGGGTTATTAAATGCCGCGTGATCCAGTGGTGACCGGCTGAGACCCCTTCCCAGCCATCACGGTGCCCACAGGCTAGCAGAGAAAAATATACATTGAATGAATAACAATCTAAATAATTAATGCCACAAAGGGGAAGAACAGGATGGTGTGAGAATGCAAAACTGGAGACTTGTTTAGGGCCTCCCCAAGGAAGGGACAGGGAACCTGCAAATCGGAGAATGAAAGATGAAGGGTGAGCAGAGGGAACTCCACACTTAGAAACAGCACATGCAAGTGCCTGTAGCTAGAAAGCGTGGGACCCCAGCCCGGGGTCTCGTGGGTCTGGAGCTCAGAACACAAGGGTGAGGTCAGTGCCTAGTCAGGAGCCCTCGGGGCTAGGCCGGAGCCCTCACAGTGAGGCCGGCAGCCTGCAGGGGATAGGCCTGGCCACGAGGGGAGAGACGGGCAAGTTTCCCGGATGATGCAGGGGTGGCAGGGAGGCTGTTTCCTCCCAGGTGAGTCAGACGGCAGGCTGGGTGGTCAACTCCGTGACTTTTTTGTTTTTTGTTTTTTCTTACAACCCTTTTCCCCTTGGAGGATTCTTTCAAACCCATTTGGACACGGGGATGAGTCAGGATCTCTCTGCCAACAAACAGCCTGTGCCATGAGAGTAGCTCCTGGCGCAGCCACCCTAAACACCTCCCTCCTCTGGCGGTGGGAAAACGGAGGCCCAGAGAGGGACAAAGACCACCCACGGTCACTCAGAGGACGTCTGTGTCTGGGACCCCAGGAGCAGCCCCCACGCTGTAGCCTGTCTCTTCTGCTGGACCTGAAGCCCCAGGAGGGCCCACGGCTGGGTGTCCTGGTCACCACGCTGTCCCAGTGTAAACTGGTGGTGCTTAATCAGTTATTTCAAACTGCATGGCCCCAGCAGCTTTTGAAAATGTCCAAGGTCACATTCAGGGCGTGGGGGGGGGGGCAGGGGGAGGAGGTTCTTTTAATTGAGTTCAGGGAGGGAGAGAGAACGAACAGGACTGAAGCGGGAGGTCAGGTAAGTGTGGTTTCTAGTGAAGCCACAGGTGCCTCCTCTGGGAACTGTCTGGATTTACTTGCCACCCAGGAAAATTCCCCTTGACATTCTGAGAGCACAGACCAGGTGGGCAGCTAAGGCAGGAGGTGGCTCCTCCCTGGGACGCCGTGGGCCCCAGAGAGAGAAGTGGCTGCCAAGTCTCACCCGAAACTTCTCACAGCCCAGACTTGCTCCTGGGGTGGAGCCAGGAGCCCGAGAGGCCCTGGGGTGGGGGGCGGGCTCCCCCAGTTTCTCAGCCCAGAGAGGGGAGGCGCCTGGCTTGGGGTCCCCCAGAATAGGATTCAAGGGGAAAGGCATTCCTGGCAAAGGAAACCGCTTATGCAAAGGCCTGGACGTGAGCAAGAGGAAAGGGTGAAGGAAGAGCTTAGTTATGAAGTTTGAGTTTGATTTTGTTTTCAAATACTTAATCTTTTGTTCAATACACATTCAAAGACAGCCAGCCCCCCTGTACCTAATCCCAACCTGGATGACCCCAGGTGCCCAGAGGCAACCCCCAGACTGGGGGGACACACAGACCTCCCAATTCCAAGGGGCAGGAGTGGGCCAGAAAGAGGGATGGAGGCTGCAGGACCCCGGTGTGGTCTGGGAGAGAGCGGTAGAGCCCACATGGAGGTGGGGCATTAGTGGTGGGCATTGAAAATTTAGGGGTGTGCCAGGTGCAAAAGACTGAAAAGGGCATTCTGGGTAGAGAATATGCATATGCAAAGGTCTGGAAGTGTGTCATTACCAGGCGGGTGCTGGAACTGTCAGGGTGTACCGTGACACTGCTGGCCCCAACTGGCCATGGCCGGACCAGAAAGAGAGGCCGAGGGCCACAGAAGCCCAGAGGGAAATAGAGGCTCTTCTTAGAGGATCAGAAATGGCTTCATGAAGAAGGGGCACTGGAGCTGGGGTTTTCAAGGATAAATAGAAGCTTGCCAAACAGAGAAGGTAAGGCATGCAAATGGAGCAGAAGGGTTGTGTCCAGAATTCAAGGAATATGATGATGGAGTGGGAGGAGAAAGGAGGGCTGGAGGAATGGGCAAGTCAATGCGAGATTTCTCCAGATCCAAGCTCAGCAGCCTGCCGTTTAAGGCCAAGAAACCCCGTGAGCCTGTCCAGCCACTGCCAGCTCTTCTCCTTGGGTCATAGGAACCACCCACCTTGGCCGATAAGGACACTTGGTGGGGACACTTTCACAACGTGGCCCCGGGACCTCAGGTCAGGCTTGTGCCTCGGTTTCCCCATCTGGAAAATAGTGACACCAGAAGCCATTTTTGCTGTTTGTGTTCATCTCAGGAATGGGGGGTGGGGGGGGTCTTCAACAAATAATGTGAAGGAAGAGAAGGAGGGAGAGAAGGAAGGGGAGGGAGGGAAGGAAAGAAAGGAAGGAAGAAAAAGGGAGGGGAGGAAAGGAAAAAAGAAGGAAAGGGAAAGGGAGGAGGAAAGAAGGGAAAGGCTTTGTATCTCGCCTCCAGACCCACACCAAGGGACAGGTCCAACATTATTATTTCACAACATGCCAGAGCTGCCGAGGCTTAAGAAATGGGTGGCGATTTGCATGTCATTTGCATTAAATTTGCATAGTGTTTGTTAACGGTGAAAACTCCCTGAAAGTGCTTTCCGCACACCCCCATCCCCTCTAGACGCAGGAAACCCTCCCCCATCCTCACCCGGGACCCCCTGCTTGGGCTGAGGACCCCTCAGTTCAAGGGCTGCTGGAGTAGCAGCCTGGAGGGGAGGGTGGTGACCTTGGACACCCCATCTGTAAAATGGGCCATAATCATAGCCACCACCGCTGTTAAACAGCACAGCTGGCCCACACGTCTGTGGGACAGACCCTGGCAGGGAGGGGCTGAGGACCTGAGCTGGGATGATTATTAAAAAGCCCCACCTCCCTGCTGGGCCCTGGAAGGAAGGGTCCCTGGGCCCCCAAGTGTGTGTGCACCCACACGCCCATGCATGTGACCCAGGGACAGAAGCCCAAACCAGGCAGAATAGGGGCCTGGGCTGCCTCCCCCACTGTGCACCCACAGGGCACTTGGGAACCACCTCAGCGGGATAACCTGGGTGACAGCACTGCACCTCCCAGGGAGCCGGGCCTGGTGCCCTCCCTGCAATAGGCAAACGGGGTCTGAGCACATTGTCCCCACAGCCATGATTTCTTATCTACCTGTCTCTGCTCCGGGCCTTGCAGCCAACATGACTCTTTCTTAATTAAAACATTATTTCTTCCCAGGCTCCCGTGCCTCTTCCCTGCGCGAGGCCAGCAGCTGGAGCGTGAACGCCACACCACGCGCGGGCCCGACCCTCCACCCACGACCAGCCTCCCGGTCTGCGCAAAGGACCAGACTCCACTCGGCTGCAGGTCAGAGATCCAACCGAGGCCCCGCGTTCTATCTGGGGGGTCTTGTACCCAGAATTCCCACAACACACTGCCTGGAATGTCCTCAAAATCACCACCCATAACACAAGGCTCAGCGTGGAAAGCAGGGTGAGCGGCTGCAGCCAACAGTAAGGAGCTGTTGTCGGCATCTGGGACCGCGCAAAAACGTGCTTTATTGTCACAATAAAAATGAATGTGATGGGGAAAAAGAAAAAGAAAAGATTACCACCCAAGCCTCAGTGCTCTACAGGCACAGGGGCCCCCAGATCTCTGCCTACTCGACCAGAGTCCTTCCGACGCAACCAGGAAACCCCATGCAGCAGGCAGGGGGCAAGGCATTAAGGGAGGGCACTCCAAGGGGGCGGGCACAGATGCAATGAGAGGAGGTACTGGGGAAAAGGGTAGAACACAGAACGCCGCTGGAGAACCGGGAGAGGGCTGCGTTCCGCAGTCTCCACCTTCAGTCATTGGAGATTTCCTGAGCGACTGGCGATACCCCACAGCCAAGGCTGTTCACAGTAGAGGGGCTTGTGGGACCCACAAGAGGATGCGGTGCTCACTGGCTGGGCAGGAGGGCATCCGAGAAGACTTCCTGGAGGAGGCTGGAATTCCAGGTGGCTCACAGTAGAGGGGCTTGTGGGACCCACAAGAGGGTGCGGTGCTCACTGGCTGGGCAGGAGGGCATCTGAGAAGACTTCCTGGAGGAGGCTGGAATTCCAGGTGGGCTGGAGCCGCAGAGAGGGGTGTGGAAGGTGCCTTTGGCAGGGGCACAGCTTGGGCCAAGAGAATGTACAAGGTAGGAGAGGTGCTGCCTGATTTCCTCTCCTCTCTCCTCTGTGCTTCTCTTCACAGGCTGCCCAAGCTGGCACAGTGGTTCCTGCGGCATGGCCTCAGGGTCACACAGTACAACCTGATTGGCTGGGTTGGGGCGACAATGTCCTCGCTCAGTGTCAGGGAGTGGGGCTCCCTCAGGACTGTCCATGGCAGTGGGCATCAGCTGGTCAGGCCAGTGTTTCACTGTCTACCCTAGGAGCCCAGAACCTGGAACGGCAGGAGGGGTGGACAAGACAATCTCAATTCGGGCCTTTAGGAGCATGAAACACCGGCTCTCTGGCCAGGTTTCCTTCTTCCCTCTTCCCTACTATCCCCTCCCGACGGATGTGGACAGCAACACCTGGAGTCACTCCCTCCTTCCCCACGGGCCTGGTGCCCCCCAGGAGGGACAAGGATGGCCCTTTAGCCACAGGTAGCCAGCCATTCTTAGAGGGAGCTTGGCTGTTTGGAGCCACCTGGTGGGAGCCACGGGAATTCAGGCAAAGAGCACAAAGTGAGGAGGCGGGTGACAGAGCCCAGAGACGCAGTCATTCACCCAAAGCCACACAGCAAGTCTGGGCAACATCATTCATGTTAGGGGCAACGCGGTTGGTGTAAAGGTAAGCGAGAAGGCAAGGGCAGTGTCCTTGCCCAAGGATGAAAAGCACAGGGGTTTGGAGTCGGGGGGCGGGGAGAGGTGACACTCAAAAGAGGTGAGTCCCTTCTCTCTGGGCCTCATTTTCCCCCAACTGTGGTCCTCACAATAGGTAAGGTCCCTGGAATGACTTACCTCCCGAAGGTGTCCCCCACCCAGCCTGCTCCTTCATCCAGCATCTTCGGTCCCCTCGGTCATGGCTCCACCTCCTCCAACCCAGACTACCTGAAGGAGGAGGACAGAAAGACACAGATTGCAGACCGAACACAGCCCTCACCTCAGCACTCACGGGCTCGCCTATCTGCTCAGTGTCTGGCTGATGCATCTTCCCACATCTGCCAGGACTTACCCCCAAGTCAAAGACCTTCTCCCCCGCATCCAGGAACTGCTAGGGCTCCAGGAAAGTGCTCTGAGCAGCCCTTTCCTCCTCTCCAGACAATACATTCCACAAATATTTATTGAGCACCTACTATGTGCCAGGCAGCAGTGAAGAGGATGAACAACAATGCCCTCGTAAAGTTTATAGTCTGCTGGAGGAGATGGAGTTAAAAAGCAAATTAGAAAAATATAGAGAAGTCGGGTTGGTAAGTGTCAGAGAGAAAGATAAAAGCAGGGATGGGGCCTGGCTAGTGTGGCTCAGTGGTTGAGCACTGACCCATGAACCAGAAGTTCACGGTTTGATTCCTGGTCAGGGCACATGTCGGGGTTGTGATCCCCAGTAAGGAGGTGTGCAGAAGACAGCCGGTCAGTGTTTCTCTCTCATCATTGATGTTTATCTCTCTCCCTCTCCCTTCCTCTCTGAAATCAATTTATATATATATCTGAACAAAGGCCTGAAGGAGCTGAGGGAGGGAAGGAGGAAGGTGTAAAACATTCCAATCTGACATTAATCATATGTATATTTGGTTTCATGTCTGCTCCGAGAGGGCAGGCCTGGTCTGAGTCCCCACTGGGTTCCAGTGCCCAGCACGTGGCCTGGCACACAGTAGGCACTCAATAAATGCTTATTGCATATTGAACGTGATTATGGCGTGTGGATGTCTGGGGTTGTCCAGCTTCCAGACCTTGTAGAATAAGGTGCACTGCCAGGAACACCCTCTCCCAGCCCAAGCCTCCAACCCCCATCCGTCACCATCCCACCGTCTCCCCCTGCCCCTGAGATCCTTCCTCCCACACACACACCTTGAGTCTCCAGGACCAGCATCTGAGGCTCCTGCTCTCAAAACATCACCCAGGCTTGGCAGACCAGCCTCGGTGGCCCGACAAGCACGACCCCATGAACTCCAGGGTTACAAATATGGCTCCAGTGTGTGCCCTGCCCACCATCTCCAAGGTGGAGCTCTGTGGCCAGCCCCTGCCGATCTCCCCCACCTCCCGGGGCAGCCCCAGGCCTCCATGTGTGCTCTTCCCACGGCCCAGAAGCCCTTCTCTGCAGACCCCTCGGGGTCACCCTGGCCAGGACTCCAGATGGCCGGCCAGGTCAGAGTGGAGGCAGCAAGTGTCAGGATGGGAATGTGGGTGGGCAGGTGTAATGGGGGAGATGGATGAAGAGAGAAGGACCAGAGACTCCGAAGGACAGAGACAGAGCCAAACAGAGACAGACATGCACCGAGAGAGACAGAGAAAAGAGCAGAGACAGAATGGCCAGACAGAAACGGACAGCGCCATAGAGAGGCAGAAAGAATGATGGGAAGTGGAATAAATAGGACAGCACCGCGCAGAGAGGGGAGACAAAGAAAGGGAGGGGAGGCCAGAGGCAGACCGAGGCAGAGGAAAGAAGGAAGCAGGCAGGGGGCATCCAGCCGCCCTCCTGGGTCTCTCGGTGCCTGCCTCCTCCATTCCTGTTCCAGCCGATACCCACCAAGGGCAGTGCTGGGCCGGGGGAGAAGGCGCTCCAGGGGCCGGGAAGGACCCCTCGTCTACCCGCCCGCCCACGTCCCACCTACCCGGACCCCAGCCAGGCCCTGACTCACTCCCATCCCCCACCCCCACAGGCCCTCCGGTTCCCTGCCTTCTCTGCCAGCCTGGACCCACTCTCACCCCGGGACCCCAGCCCCCCGGCCCGGCCACCTGGGGTCGCTGACGAGCAGCAGCACGGAGCCGTCCTGCAGGCGCAGCCGCCGCGCGTTGTAGTAGAAGGTGCGCTTCCAGGAGCTCACGCCCTGGCCCACCAGCTGGAGGCCCAGG